GCCAGATTATAAAAAAAATGTTTCAAAAATATATAAAAACTTTTATAATGCAAGCAAATAAATTGGTTTTTCCTACATTGCAAAATGTAGTATTCGATTACTACAGGAACTGAAACTTCCAAGCTTAAACCGTCGAGTCCCCTGTAATGAAAAGAAACCAACCGTCAATGTAAATAGTTAAAAATAACACTCTTAAACAACAATTTTGTTAAGCATCAAAATTACTCATAACTAATACCTTATACTAATGCTAATACTAATATAATTAATATTATACTAATATTAATATTGGATTAATACGTAGATATTAGTCCAGGTACATTTTGGCCCTCTGGATCCAAAAATAATAGAAAATTATCTAATAAAAAATTTTATAGATATTGGTACTGATTTTTCACTTCAAGTTTGGAATCGTAGATTCACTTTTACTAAATTATTTTGAAAGTAATCAATGTCAATAAATCAATAAGAGGAATAAGATAGCACTGGAGCACGTCTAGGAGTACATGCCAAGGTTCTTACAATTTTAAACATATATTTATTCCTATATAAATGGGATTCAATTATCACTTCAGAAATCAATACTAATATGGCGTTTACACTGGCTGAAAATGGCTCATTCTGAATGAGTCATTTGAAAGTGTTTACATTCGTTGTATTTCATTTTTTCTCATTTCAAACAGCTGATTTTTCAACTTGCATGTTGATTTAATTTTTAGTCTGTGCCAAAAAAATGTTACAGGAAGGTTAAATATACCTTCAAACCTTACAATATAAACTGAAAACTTGTTTCTAGATTCGATTTATTTATTTTTGGGAAGTAGAAGTTCCAAAAATTGGTGCATCGTTTTAAAGAAAATGCAACCACCAAACATTTGTTTACCTTAAATGTTTGGTTTACCGTAAATATGTTAAAAACAGCTTTTTCAAACTGTCAAAATGCCATGAAGAGCTTTCATTTAGGGTATGTTCAATGGATTCCTTTGCATTTGGAACGTATGTGGAATGCATTCGAACGTCATACAGAATGTGAGAAAATTGCTCATTTTTGTGCTTGAAATTTTATATGCAAGAATGAGCCATTCGATACTCATTTTCGATTTTTGACCAAAATGAGCCATTTTCGTCCAATGTAAACGCCGTATAAGAGGATTGCTATCGAAAATTGCAACAACCTTCGCATAGATTTAGCTGTCAAATCAATAATGACAACAAACTGAAAATTAATTCATTTGACAATTCATTGTTTTGTTTACAAGCGTTTACATGCGTAAGAAGCCATTTCGATTTTGATTATGTTATTGAAATGAAGTTGTACGTGGTGGAGTTCAAACATGATAGTGTGATTGCTTTATATTTAGTTGGCAAAACACAAGAGGCTATCGTTCGAGACCTCAAACACTTAAATGTGAACAAATCATTTCTGTCTCGTGTCATAGTTCGATACCGTGATACAAGAAGTAGAAACGTCAGCGTTTCCCGACGCCCAGGAAGTGGACCAAAAAAAATAAAGTACCAACACCAGAAATGATTGGTAAAATATAGAAGCGAATTGGCAAAGGAGCTGAACGTGTCGCGTGAAAGCATGCAACACATTTTGAAAAATGAGCTCGAACTAAAGCCATTAAAGTACATTATTTCACAGATGAACAAAAGGAAGTTAAAGTAGAAAGAGCCAAAGTATTAGTTCGTTTGACCAAAAATGGTGGGTTGTCAAGTTTAGTTTTTTTCTGATGAGTTTGTATTCGTAATTGAGCAATACGTAAACAAACAAAATGATCGAGTTTACTTGTCAGAGAGGTCAGCTGAAAATCTAAACATATGAATGGCCACCAGAGAACAGACGCCAACAATGGTTTTGATGTGGGCCACCGTAACGGCTGATAGTCGCTGTCTGTTCACATTCATTCACCGTAGGGTAAAAATTAACGCTCAAATTTATCGGCAAATAATTTTGGAGGGAGCACTACACCCTTGTGCTGATAAATATTTCGGTCGCAGACGTTTGACTTTCCAACAGGACTTAGCACCATCGCACAAAGCACGCGTCAACCAAGAATGACTGAAAAACAACGTTTTGTACTTTATTCCATCAACACAATAGCCACCGTGTTCACCTGATATAAACCCTTTAGATTTCTCAATTTGGGGTATTTTAAAAAATAAGATTAGCACTAAAAAATATCAAAATATCGATCATCTGAAGCATACGGTAAGCCGAGTATGGGGCAAAATATTGCAAAGCTATTTGCGAGCAGCGTGCGATGGCTTCATTGGCCGTGTTAAGGTCATAATTCTTGCTAGAGGTAGCCATATTGAAACAAAATAAATTAAGTTAAAAATTTAAAGTTGTTTTCGCATATTTTCATTTATCTTTCATTAAATGTAGCAAATATAAACAAAATAGAGTATTTTACTTTGCTACAATTTCCGTCAGCAAACCTGTATATAAATATAGGTATATGTCTTTTAACCGAGAATAAAAGTATTATTATTCGCCAATATATCAAAATCTGTTCGATAGATTTGTTTTTATTGATCGTATAATTCGCATAATTCGCATAATTGCTTAGTAGGTATAAAATAAATCAAAATATTGTAACATAATGTATATGTATATTAAGATCTGTGGGAGTCAGTCGTTTAAATCGTGTTTGCATGTCGTGAGTATCGTATATTTCTGAGTTGGACTATGTTATTTTTTCTCGTTGTCTGAATTTTCTATATTTTTGTATGTATGGTTATTCCTGGTTGTGATTTTGTTGAAATTAAGATAGGCATGGTTAATATTTTGTTAGTGTAAACCACTTGAACTGTTTTATCTAAGTTAACGTTTATTCGCTACATATCAAACTAGTACATTATCTTCTAAATAAGAGCCAGTAGCTTACTTTTTGTATTATTCGCACAGGTTGTAATGATTTCATTATTGATTTTTGTTATACGAATGTCGACACATAAGAAGTAAAGGATTAAGCTTAAAACGTTTCTTAAGGTATGCTTGCCCCTTAAAGAGGTTATTTGACATTTTTGCCTTGTTATTTACGTAGAACTCTCTATCAATTTAGTAACTTTGCTTAATGCTTTTAAATTTTGTTGACAAGAGTGCAGTTTCTGGGTGGTTGAGTTTAGGGTTCGACAGCTAAATTAGTAGGGAGGAATGTTTTTTTTCTTTTAGAATAGGTTTAAGCATATGATATAAGATGTTTTTGAATAGTTCTCACATGATTAGAAGTTGGCTGATTGGTCTGCAGAAAATTACTAATGCCTGATCTAGGTATTGCGATTATTGTGGTTACCTTCTATATAACTGCTAAATACTTAATTTTAATAGAACAAATATGGTTGTTTCATATATAAATAAGTACTACAGTTGGAAGATAGTGTAAGACTTGGTACTTAACGGCCTAAAATACATTAGAACTGCCTACATTTTACGTTTCACAAAAAATGTATTTATTATATTATATAATTAATGTTTCTGAACATAGCGAGCCATTTAAGTGATTTTATTTTTATATATAATTAAAATATTGTCTACCACAATCAATATACAAAATGAACTAAAAATATAACATAACCAAATTTTAATCATATGCAAAATTTTTATATTTTCAAAATTTTGCTTCTGTTATATATATTAAATGATTTGTACCTATAATGACAAATAATTATTATTATAAAAAATATTTTATTTATGAAAGTGCACACGATGTCACCATTTTTAATTACTTGTTTGAATATTATATATCATATAAGATATTGTGACCCCGATTTCATATCAGTATCTCTTAGTATATGTTCTTAAAGTACCCGATTTTTATTATTTTCTACTAGTACTTTCCAACTGTTATTTTTATTAAACAGATTTTTTAAGTTCTTTCATATTTACTGCTCTGTATTGATGAACTAAGCAGGTTAAGGGTTTGAGGGTTTTTACATCTATGTACGCATAGAATCCTTATATTACAATTTAAAGTAACTTTGCTACACATTTGATATCCTTTTAAATATTGCAACCAGCGAGAATGTAATATTTATTTAAAAAAGTAAATAAATACTTTCAAAGACTTTCGTAAAACTTTATTACGAATTAGAATGCACCATAAGTAAATATAGAGAAAACTGAGTGATATCCTTCAAGAAATCATGTTCTTACTTTTTTCGAAATAGCACAGCTCCAGGTGCTTGGATGCTTAAGTTAATACCAATTATAATCCAAAATTTTTGTATTGCGTATTGTAAATTTTATACAAAGCACATAACTTTTATTTATAAATTAATTGTAATAGCGTGACTTAATTGCGATTAGTGATTTTTTGATATTATATACAATTCCTCTACTTTAAAGCAGATAATCTGTGAAGTATCATCATGCGCATAGTTTCCCTCCTTTAGCTTATTCGTAATAAATTGACAGATGTCTGCTTCGTAAATGCCACTTCTGTATAAAGCTCAGGAGATTTATTCTCTTGGGGTTCCAATTAATAAAAATGTTAATAGAATTTTCGTTTGTTGCACTAGGTTTTTATAGCAATTGAACTAGATTTCATTTATTCTCTATGTTAATACAACAAAGCAATGTGGTTCAAATGTGAAGTTACAGTTCATTATTATTCATCAGAACCAACATTTTCAATAAAAAAAGATACATCGGATTTATAATTTTTTATGAACTTACAATTTTACCTTCTATACCTTTTAAATACTATTTTTTTTTTGTGCAAAGTAGAATATTGATATTAGCCTATATATACATCAATATTCTAAATATCAGTAATTATTAAATTTATTTAGGATCTTACAGACAGTTGGAACGTAGACCCTATTCTAAAAATTGTATAGCAACAAATACTTCTAAATTCACAACTCTCAATTAAAAACTTTAGTTAATTAAGCTTTAACATACTTTTTCTCCTATGTTTAAACTATCAATTTTAATATTATTTGATTATTCAAATTTTTTAAATATATGATTTTATTTCATTGTTAGCATAACTGAAAATATTCTTAATAAAGACATATGTTTGCAAACATCTATTAAACTTAAGCATTTATTGCAACCTAATTTCGTTGTAAGTGAAAGCAATTATTGAAATATAGATGTATATATTCATAAAGGATTTTTCCAGATAAAAGCTCTATGAGTACAATCAACTTTATAAAATTAGACCGTGTTTCGCTATGAATTTAGTTCACCACACCTGTGTTTCATCACCAGCAGTTAGATCTCTAAATGCCTCACCAGGATCACCAAAGATACTAAATAGCAATAATCACGTGCTTGGAATTGTTACCCAAAAGACTAACCATGTAAGTAATGTCTAATAACATGTTCTTAAACATGTTACTTTGTGTAATTTTTTATTTTGTTTATAATTTTTACTGAATCTATTATTTACCAAGTAACAATGCAACAAGTGCTCTGTCTCTAGCTCTAGCAATAATAAAAGTTGTGGCTTTTTTAATGTATACAAATTACTCATTATAATGCGTTACTCGCACTCAAAGTTTATTTTACTGAAAAGGATTTAGGTAATTCCTAAGCGATACATTTTCTTAAAAAGGTATTCCATACAAGTCCTAATCATATAAATAAAAAGTCGTTATTAAGATGAATCTATTTTCAACTCCAAACAATATTAATAGATTACACGAGCAAACCACCACAACCCCCACTACCTGTTATCAATAATCATCTCACGTTCTCAATTATCTCCAAAAACAAATTGTTGTACAAACTTTCAAATTGCCTTTTTATTGAACTGTGACAACGGCACATAACGTATTCTTTGGTACATGTGTAATTTCGTTAAAAAATAAGTATTCTAATTTCACTACATACTCTTCTGGGTTCGTACTTTAGGCCACACCTAGACGTAACAACAGTTCGGCAATAAAATCTGTTCATATTACTTACAAAGGTTCGAATTGCAGGAAAATATTGTGTCAAGGCATGGGACCATTCACGGGTTAGTCCGCCTCTGTTCTGCGCTTAACGTTTAACAAATTATTTGTTCCTAAAAACATCTGTACTTCCAAAGCGCAAAGTTCTCTTGGTAATCAAGTGCGAACACAACAAAGTTGAAATTGTGTTTTCTCATCCATATAAAATGCTATAAATATAAAAATAATCAGTAGTATACGAAATAAATGCAATGCGAAAAGAAACCAAAGTCAAGCAGAATTAGTAAGAGAGAATTTTTATTTCTCTGGGGAAAAATTTATTTAAAACGACAATCACATCACACACATTTCGGAAGTAAGAATATTCTATTAACGTTGCTAGTAACTGCCTTCTAAACGATTCAGTTTTAGTACTACAACCATTAATTCAGAAAACTTTGAAGCTGCAAATAATTTTAATAGTTTATTACGCGGCAATTTGTTTGAAAGGTTGAAAAATTCTACTAATAAATGTACAAAATATATATCTCTATGGTGACTGTTACTGTTGCTGTTGTTGTGATACTGCTATTAGTTCAAACTTCAGATCTTTAAAGCTAGATATTCCAATAAAAAAAAAGAAAACGAAAGGAAAATTCAAGTAATGGCATCCACCACTCTGCGATGAGTTCTATGGAATATACGACTACGTTGTCAAGAAGGGCAGCATATGGGCACTAATATTCTGTAGCAATTAAGCACGCAAGATGATTCTGGAGAACAGTGACACTCATAAGCATTTTTATATATTAAAATCGGTTGTGTTTATTTCATTTTTTGTATATTTCTATACATATTTCGGTAAATTCGCTTTTGTCTTCATCGGGAGAATTCCTAATAATTTAATTAATATTCCTAAAAAAAAATAAACAAAACTGACTTTAAAATAATTTCGACGTAATAACTCCAAAGTTAAAAACAAAATTACATTATTATATGTGTTTATATTTAAAACAAAAAAATCGATATTCGTCTATTATTTTAAAATATTTATTTTGAGGTTTTTATAAAGAAAACATTTTCTTAATTATATAAAATTGAAATAAGTTTCAAAGTTGTTTTTCTCCGTGAGTATTTCATATGCAAACTTAATTTGGTAACTCGGCAATTCCTAAAAGTAATAAATACATAAACATCTGATCGCTATAGAATAATAATTGTTAAACGTTTAAATTTTTCCATTAAAAAAAAAGGCAATATAAAAAAATACCTGAACTGTTTATTTAAAAATTGAATTAAACATATACAAGCCAAAAGAAGCACTTCTCAAACATAACAACCTTAGCACAACAAGAACAGAAAACTGATCTATAGCCAGATAATTAGAACAGCATTACTTTATGCGTGTGTCGCGTATAGCAAAGCTGCCAACTCTACTATATAAAAGCTGCAAGTTGCTCAAAGTCAGGCTCTCCGAAGACGCTTCAAAGTGCCTTGGTACATCCGCACAAACGACATGCTAATAGACCTTAGAATAGACCCGATCAAAAAATACATAAGGGACAGAGCCCTGAAGTTATATGCGAAAACTGACAGGCTATCCTACTTAGCACTATCTAATCTTAGAGTAGTCACTTTCCGCACGGGGAGGTACGCAGATCTTAGATCAATCACTGAATAATCATGAAGCTTATATAGAATACATAAATTAGTCAATGAGATGGGTGGGACCCTGTAGTACCCCCAGCTATCAAAGAGTAAAAGTGTCCAGTTGCACTGACTCGAAAAAAGGATCGACATATACATATATATTAAATTAAAATAAAATTTATTAATGTTTAATACTATTTTATTTTGTCAACGATTTTCAAAACAATAAACCACTAGCGTAATATAACATCTTTTGTACAAACAAGAAGACTGATAACGTCGTCGTTACTAAATGATTTTTATACCACCTAGGTATATCGAATATGTGACTGGTATAAAGCCGATCAGTTTTCTAGCATAACGATAGCTGTTTTAGGCATTATGATAAAAAAAAGTCCAATACTACTTTATGGGTCTGTTCGTGATGCAGTAGAGGCTCACAAATTAGAACTCTTATAAATTCGAATTGTCCAGAAATTAGAATCAAAAAATTTCAATTTATTATATGCATAAAAGCTCTACAATTAAAACTTTTGGTTCTAATTTTTGACCGAATTCTACTTTTTTTTTTTTAAATGATGTCTAAATTAGTAAGTTCAAAAACGTTACTGTTCGTACTTGTTTCAAAAAAATAAAGGGGAAATACCCAAAACGTGTATGTTAATGAAACGCATTCAAAAATGCAAGTTCAAGACGGATCTAAACATGAGTTCAATACTGATAACGTCATTGAAAATGAAGTTCCCAATCCCACACCAAATGTTTCTCATTGAAGCATCGTTGAAAGAGCAATATCTTAATAAATTGGTGCAAAAAGAATGACTCGTTTCCTACTAATCACATGACTAATTTTTTCGATCCGTACTGAAAACATTATAAAAAATTTGACTAAACCTAAAAAACAAACAAACATTACTCAATATTTTATACAATAAGGATTAATTAATGAGGATTGATTTCGACTGTAAAATACTATTTTTTTCGATTGTTTTTATGTAGAATTATAATTTTTTGATAATTTTTTATAGATATAAAAATGTCCAGAAATTTGAACTTTTCGCAAATTCGAACTACCCGAAAAACCAAAAGGTTTTTCATTTCTTAACAGGAACAGTCTTAGAAAGGGTGATCCACAATAAAAAATAATATTGAGGCAAGTCGGATACCTTCTGAAGCTTAAGCAAATACTTTCAAAAGCAAATTCTGTAATATTTTCTGTTCGTGATCAGCGCAAATAATGCTACACTAAAAAAGAAAAAACGGAAACTTTTGCAAAGTATTTAAAATGCCATTTTAAAATCTATCCTGAAATAGTTGAACAAAATGAAGAGGAAAAACGGAAGTTGGAACAATACCTTCAACAAATTAGAAAAAAATTGGCACTTTAATTAGTAATTAAAAATAAGAAAATCGCTTAACCTAAATGAAACCCATTACAGGAGTTTAAAAAATCTTTCGTCGTCAGTAATAGCTGTCTTTACTGCCATTTGTCATTACTGACAGCTTTGTCATTACTGCAATACTTTCTTCACGTGTCTTGTCGCAAAATTGGAAAACTGTAGTTATAGTAGTTCTTCCAAAACTTTGGAAAGACCATTCTTTCCTTGAAAATTGTAGACCTATCAGTTTGCTGCCTACTGCAGCTCAAATAGCAGAAAAAAAAGTATTGGCAAGACTTAAAAATATTGTTATAGCTAAAGATATCATTCTCAAAGAACAATTCGGATTCCAAGAAAATCCTTTCACTTATTTCCAGCTAGCATAGTAGAAAATGTCGAAAACTCATCCTTAAACACATGTGTATGTTATATCAAGTCTAGCAAAGATTTGAGGAAAAATGAAGAAATTAACTCTAAAACTAAGTACACAAATACTTTTCAACATCGTACTTAATGATACTAGTCGACTTGGAATTTTGACTAGACAGAAATAAGTTATTTCGAAAGTATTTTGGATCGATAACTATGGATTAGAGTCTTGCATCCATTTTTACTGAACCAATTTCAAAGTTTTATACATCAAGAGAAAAATATAAGATGTAAAAATATATGTTAAATATCTGAAGTACACAGATATGGAAGATTTCAAATCTTGCAACAGTTTTGAACAAATTTTAACATAATATTCAATGTTGAATGTCTTTAATTTATTGCTTAAGATAAGGACACCTACTTTTATGCAGGAAATCAATTAACTAAGGGTACTAATTCTTATTTGGAAGAAAATTGGTAACCGTTTTATTTGTTTTTATTTTTTAATTTAATGTATTAATGCATTTCGTAATATTAAAATAAATTGAACTTTACAATTATTAAATATGAGCCAACGAAAAACAGGGAAAAACCTAAAGGCAGTAGGAGATATCACATAATAGCTTAGATTATGCTGGCAGATAAAAAAGTCCACGCATAGACCATTAAGATCCATTGCGATACCAGATCAGAGTCTTAATTTTTAGCGATTTTAGCATCACTTAGGATGCGCGTGTTATTAGCGAATTTTATTAGAATTTCAAAAAAAACCTCAAGTATGTGCTCAAGTCCTGTAAAACTGACAACCCCAAGTATTTTTGTCCAGTTCTCGAGAGGGCCGTGCAGTTACACAACAGATATTCCAGAGTTTGCTTTGCATCCGGCTCGTTGCATTTCCTACAGACATTGCTGTGAATTAGATTCAGTTTGTGCGCATGTGATGCGACCACACAGTGATTTGCCAATACACCAATTAATATAATACACCAATAAACATAATAAAGTAAAAATTAATTTGTTTGCTTAAAATTTCTAATATAAACAACTTAAATATTTATAAAGCAACAAATATCGCTATATTAAACGGATGGGTTCGGGTAGGCGAATTGGATGCAAAATCCATTTAAAAGCCCATTTCAAAACTATATTCAAGTAAAATTTCATCCTAATATCAGTATATCTTAAAATATTGGTTCAGAAAATACCAAATTTTGATCGTCTAATTTCAAAGTCAGCTGCGGCGAACAACTGACACGTGCTAATTATGGGGACTCAAACGTTATAGTTATAGATTCAAAACAACTGTCACATAACTAATTGATTTATATAAAATCATTTTTTATTGCATGGGAAAATTTTTAGTTAAAGTATACGAAATCTTTGAATTTCGCTTTATGTATATAATGACAATACAATACATATTATAATTATTAATGTTTATTTTTGTAGGTCAGCACTGTCTTACTTTATGGCACACCAATTGTATCACTATATATAGAGGGACAAGAAAGATTATGTTTGGCCCAAATATCTAATACATTACTAAAGCAATTTAGTTACAATGAAATTCACAATCGTCGTGTTGCGCTTGGAATAACATGTGTACAATGCACTCCAGTACAATTAGAAATTTTACGTCGTGCTGGAGCTATGCCGGTTAGTTCTAGACGTTGTGGTATGATAACACGTCGTGAGGCAGAGAGACTTTGTAAAAGTTTTTTAGGCGATAATGCACCACCGCGACTACCAGATGACTTTGCATTTAGTGTACAACATAAATGTGCATGGGGTTGCCGTGGATCTTTTTTACCAGCACGGTATAACTCTTCTAGAGCAAAGTGTATTAAATGTTGCTTTTGTGGCATATTTTTTTCACCTAATAAATTCATATTTCATTCTCATCGTATTAGTAACAGTGATAAGTATATTCAACCTGATGCAGCAAATTTCAACTCTTGGCGACGACATATGCTATTAACTGGTCAACCTCAAGAAGAAATTATACATGCTTGGGAAGACGTTAAAGCGATGTTTAATGGTGGCACTCGCAAACGATTGTTAAGTAGAAATGATTCGCCTCTCCAAATAATACAAAACGCTACTTCCACTCACTCAAATACGAACTCAACCTCTAAAATAAATAATAAACCTTCAAATTTTCAGCGTCATCAGGAACAGTATACAGAGAATAAAGAATCGAACGAAACAATATCTGCAAAACGCTTAAAGACACAAAATCTTGAGACTAACCAAAATCCAGTTCTTGGCGAGAGCGCAGTACCTGCTACAGTTGGTGCAGTAAATCCAATAAATGTTGCGTCTAAAATTTCACAGCAAACTAAAATTGTGTCAAATTCCCAAAATAGTGTACGGGATCATGAGTTGGCTACGATAATACCACTTTCAAGAAATTTTATGATGGATTATATGTGGCATGCACATGCAGCTCATCATCAACAACACAATAAATCAAAACTTATCAATGCATCTACATTTAATTTTCCTAATTGTAATATTCCCTGGCGCAAAGATAATTATTTATCCACCGTCACATCTTTATCTACAAAATACAATAATGTAAGTAATTTTGCTGCTACAAACTCTCCACTTAGTATCTGCTCAAATCCAACGAAAAACTTAAACGAAAATATTGATCACATACCTCAAATAATCAATAATTCAGCTTTTAAACCAGTTCACCATCAACAACAAAATAAATTGAATTCGATTAGTCCAAAAATGGCAACGGTTGAATCGGAATTGGATGATTTAAGAAACGAAAATTCTCTTTCTTCCAATATTGCTGTTTTACCTAAAACTGAAAGCAAAAACAAGTGTAACTTACCATATCATGTGCATAATTATCCCCGCAAAGTGATACTTTCTTCAGCTGGAACATATTCCTGTAATGAACCCGGTGTGCTTTTAAGCCAGCTGCAAATAACATCGGAAATGGGCAATGTTAAAGCATCTTATTTATCAGAGTGTGATCGTGACTATGAAACTACCAAAGATGATGATGATGAAGTAGTAGACATCGAAACAACAGAAGATGAAGGCCCAAATCAAAATATTCGTTTAATTCCAAACGAAACTATTCCAATATCAAGACATACTCTAAACAACAGTCCAAATAATTCCAATTCTAATTCATACCTTGAGATATCCTGTTCACAGCACTGCAGCAGTAGTAGTACAGATAATATAGATGTCGGTAATGTTGTTGAAGCGACTAATTTCTCGGAAGCCAAATCAAATACATTCATGCAATTTGAAAATAAAGTAACATATTTACCGCATTCTACTTTGCATGTTGCTGATACCGATTGCTCTTCAAATGAAAGTCTGCATTCGAAAAGTTCTTCCGAATTTATTATCGGCAAAAATTTACCAATTTCAACTATGTGGAATGATGTTATTAAAAACGAAGTAAGATCTTAAGTAATTGAAATAATGTAGAATATTTAAAATACACGTATACCAGATTGAAGAAATTTAATAAAATGTTTTTTATTCATGCTTTACTCCTGTTTTACAATTCAATCTCGCAATTTTCAAATATTTCATTAATTTATTACAATAAGTTGATAGAATATAATCAAATGTACATGGCCCTATTAATTCGTACCAATTTATTTATTTGTCTTATATCTTACTCACTGCATTCTTAGAATTCTGTACAGAAAACATCGCATTATGTTCTAGTTCAATCCAACAATTTAATTATGAAATTAAATTCTCGGTTTCCAATACTGCAAACAAGATCAGGGCTGTATAAGAATAATAAACATTACATTATACTGAAGTGTAATTCATATCAATATTTCAGTGCTTTGCATATATGAATTAGTAGCATATTTTCTGAAAACAAACAAATATCAATAGTCTTATTCGCAATTCTTGAATACGAAACCCCTTTTTTTGTGGATCTACAGCCACAGTAAATAAATGCCACTGCCGTCCAACACTAACCTGAACGGCACTATGGAAACTTCATTCCATTCCAGAAATTAGAGGAGAGCGTTGAGGTAAGGAGACTTAGTACTTAATAGTCTAGGTTTATCTAAGTTAGAAAGTATAGACGCAGTTTAGGGTAAAGGGGAAAAAGATTTGCCTTCGCAAACTACTCATTTCATTATTCTTTTAGTGAATTTTAAAATGTTAAGTTTATTAATTAGTAATGTTATTATTAATTAAAAGTATTTTTTTTAAAACATTTAGTAATTTATAACATATTTACTGTAGTTATTATATAAAAGTTAGAGTTAGTAGTTAAAGTCTATATATGTATATACATAAGCGAGTAAAACAAGGAATTTGATATTGATTAATGTACATTATTTTTTAAGTCTGTTATTCAATTTGTAATTTTCTAAGCAATTAGTTACAATTAAATATTTTATTAATATTTAATAGAGATATTTTAATATATATGCAAATACATATACATATATATAAATAAAGAGTTCTTTTTTATATTTTACTTTTATGAAATAACTTTAATAGGTGTAAATGCTTAATATTTTTCCTTAACATTTAAAACAAAATAAATATAGAAAACAGTTACGCTGTGCCTAAGCGGTGGTATATATCCTGAACGCTGAAGTGTAAAACACCTAATTGCTTTAACAGTGCGCTGAGTATAACCCCAATTGTGTTAGCAATATAAGTTAGAAAAATTGGCACGTGACTTTCTTTGAAAACGATTTTGAACATATGTCAAAATGACTGAAACTGCTACATATATTATCCTTTCCAAATTCTATCTATTAAACGTACAATTGTATCATAATAGTACTGACAAATAATTTTAATTGATTCGCGTATGAAGATTACTGTCACATAAAGTAGTGGTTTTTATCGATTGTGGTAGATTTTTTATAAGTACCGTACAAATAAAAGGTTGTGTACAGAATAATGTCAAAAATAAATTGCCAATTACTTTGCTAAAGGGCTATTAAAGTATAGACAACGATGACTTTCTTTATTGGTAATTATAAAAGTACTCATCCTTAACTAAAATCAATAAAATGACGGACAGCAAAATTGGAATAGCTTCATGACGGGATACTTAACTGTAAAAAGAAACAGTTATATCTTTAAGTCCTCGGGTGTTAATCTTTGTAAATTTGCAAATTTTTATTGTATTTTTACTAATTACTTATTTCATAACAAAGCATTATACAGGTATATAATTGTTTCTTTTTTCTTTTATTTGCATTTAAGCTGTTGATTTTAATGATTTGTATTCTCCAGAGATTATCGTAAGAAGTGAACTTTAATGTAAGTACTGACTCTAAAAATTAGAGAGAATTATAAATTCCAATTAAATTTATTTTACACTTAAAAGATATCTTCAAACCATTAAACTTGAACCCATTTGAGTTTGTATCTTACTGAACACGTGTAATTCACAAAAGAAAAGATACTTAACTGAAAGAATATTTCAAAATTGTGATGATTCACCACCACGATTAAGTTATAATAACAATATATTCTACCATCTGCAGCAATCAATTCAGTCATTTAACATTGATCTATTCATTAGATGCAGCACCCGCAATTCAATTGAATTGAAACATTGCTGAGGTGATGAATGGAAATCAAAACAAGTGGAAGTTTAATCCGATTTTATTTAATAAGCCCTCAGGCTATAAGCACTCTTACGGCAAATTGAAATTCATGCCTTCTAGCAGTTCAACAAAGTTGCATCAAATCGTATTAAACAAGTATATAAATTCAAAAGAGAAACAATTTGTGCTAGGCAAAATAATGTGGGAAAGGCAGAAAAAAATTATCCAGTCCGGGTAAAGCAACATCCGAAAAAGTATGAAATGAACTTCATGCTATAAAATTAGATGACGTCTGCCATATGGCATAACACTGTTGTAGGTAAATGATAAGTAAGGCCTTAACAGATTTTAGTATTGGACAGTCTGTAAACAATTTCAGGTTGTCTGGGAAGGGTCTTACAGCTTTGTACATAAATCATACTTGCTTTACTTTTAGCCTATAACGTGGAAGGAGAATGCCGTGTGCATCCCTTTTACATCAAACCAATTACTTTTGCAAGTGATTGAAAAATATTTTCCATTGGATAAGACTAACCTTTAGTGAATTATTTGCACAAATCTGTCAATTATAAGTGATTAATGAATTGTTCATTTATAAGTGCTTAAATGAAATGTATTTGTACCTATAATTAATAATTGCAGTTTTTTTAATTAGGATTAGTTATAATTGGAGGTAAAAGCTAAGTAAACATAACTCAACAGAATTTCCTATATGAGTAGAAACAGAAATAAATTTTGTCATTATAATTGTGTCCATATACGTATATCACATTTACTAATGAATGTGCTTTGGGGATATAGTCTTTTAGAATCAATTAATTATGATGTATGCGTAGATATGTATGTATGTTATTTATTTATCTAATTGTTAATTAAATAACATAGGCATGAACCTCCTTATGTTTAAACATCTTGGACATAAAAGCAAAAACTAAGAATACTTTTTATATTTTAGTTTCCTCCAAGTTCTTAATAATGGAAGCTTTTTTACCAAAAATCACAATTTCGGTTTTGTTGTAACAGAAAATAAAATTTTGTGCAACTCGAATTGTATAATATTTTATACTGAATGAAAGCTGAAACTAATAAAAATGTTTTAAGATGCTTTTCAGTGTCCAGGTGAAGGAAATAGTACATCAGATAGATATAATATTAAATCTACAAATTTAGATTCAGTCGGATTTTTTTCCAATTTCTTCAATTTTCAAAGTGATGAGACGCACACAGAAATTTTGATGCGGAAGGTTTGAATACGAACCCTTTCTAAAAATGGAAAGGAAACTCCGAAAGTTATATTGAATGTTCCACATTTGCACAAAATAGGACTTCTTTAGGAACTGTTGAATTCTAATACACAATATTAAAATATTTCTAATTTCTTAGAAAAAATTAGTAATAAAAGATTTATGAATGAAGGTTTGACAAATGTGTAAAATTCAATATGAGTTTTGTAATTTTCATACAATTTTATGTACCTGAAATCATCTTCATTGTCAATGAATAAAAATATTTGTCTTCAATATTACTGTGGCGTCCCATCACATTAAAAATTGGAAAAAGTGTAAGAAACACAGAAAAAAACCTTTTATCTGTGCATTATTTTGCAATAGCATCGAAATTATTTCGTTTTTTATTGTTTTGCAGTTGGTGGAAAGCATGCAGTGTGAGACTTGAACCCACTAAAACCATCTCTTAGGAATGAGCATGGAAGTTTGCAGCCGCGTAAAGCGGATACAACCCCATTCCAATAATAAAGCAAGAGAGATTAGAGCAAGAGGCTTAGTATTTAGGTGAAACTGAGTTCATCTAAGTCAGAAAGCATGGGTGTTAATTACTCTTTGGCCATGGTCACGAGAGCCGCGATTACAGAGAGAGATGATGGAGGGATCGAAATCTCACTAATCGAAATAAAGGGAGAGGTATTGGGGGATTTATGGCGCAAGATCTGAATAAAGTCATTGAGGAGAAAGGAATTATTTGACTCTCACTATTATTCTGTAGCCTAAAATGGTTGTATTAGTTTCAGCTTTCGCTAGATTATTTTTATGTGTTAAATATGCAAAAAAGTTTTTGAGATATATGTAAAAGAAGTTGTGTAAAAACCATAGTATATGGTACATATATACCATAACAATACATCAGTCAATAAGTCGTACGACTTATATATATATATATATCTGATCGTAAATTGAAATAGCATGAGATAGCTGAGACCGTAAAGATATCAATATTTTGGAATGCATATGGTATAATCTTCATTGATTATCTCGAAAAGGGAAAAACCATCAATAGTAACTACTGCACGGCATTACTGGATCGTTTGAAAGCAGAAATTGTGAGAAACCGACCTCATATGGCGAAGAAAAACATTTTGTTTCATCAAGGCAATGCATTATGTCACAAGTCAATAAAAACGATGGCAAAATTGCAATCGAATTGCTTCCTCATCCACCTTATAGTTCAGATCTGGCCCCCAGCGACTACTGGCTATTCGCTGATCTCAAAAAATGCTCGCCGGTAAGAAATTCATCTCAAATGAAGAAGTAATTGCTGCAACTGAAGGCTATTTTGAGGTAAAAGACAAATCCTTCTACAAGCACGGCATCGAGAAGTAAGAGAAGCGTTGGAATGATTGTATTGCCCTTGCAGGAGATTATATTGATGAGTAAAATCGATTTTTGGCAGAAAAAGTTTGTTTTTCTTAGTTTGTTATATAGTTTTCACGTATATAGTATATATGTATAATTTGTATATATAAACTGTTTTTGGGATAATGAGGAATTTTAGATTGATTATTTTTTTATGTACACTTTTCTTAAAAATATTTTGCAAATAAATAAATATGTTTACACTATAATTTTATATATATTTGAATTTTTCTTTTGCAAAGAGAATAA